AACATCCTTCTAGTGTCAAACTCGGCACAGACAGCACTGCACAGTGAAGATCAAACATCTAACTGCACGAATGAGAAGAAAAACTGATTTTTGAAAGGAGGGGGACTTTAATGTGTTGAGTATAGTTAACTCAAAATCATTAGTTAGGTTGACTATAAAATGTAAATTTAGACATCTTAAAGATCTGAATTATGTTATGTAAGTAGTACTCATCAGGAAAAAGTTATCTTTACTAGTCTAAGCATTACTACAGTCTACACATTACAAGGAAAATATCAGGAAACTGAGTACCTTAACATTTCCAAGTCAGCTGAACTAAAAGTGATAAGCTGGTAAAACAGGTTTATTTGTTGAGAATAAAAAAAAACCTATTGGTGCCCACAATATGACAGTCTTGACTTGAACTTCCTCAACTATTACAAAATCAAAATGCCTTTCCACACACACACATGTGATCTTCACTGAATGCGGTATGTAACAAACAAACAAACAAAAAAAACATCAATAGTCATTTGGGACCAAAGGGGAAAAAAACAACTTTTCCACTGCAGATGGAAGGGTAAAGGTCTCAGCATGACCTAATATTTAAAATTGTTCACTCACTGCATCAGACGATTTTTGAGTGATTGTATTATGGGTTTTAGGGACAGTGAGAGAAGCACTCTTTGAATAAAGTCCAAGGTGTTCTGCAGCTGTTGGGATTAATCCAAGTTCAGGGTGTAAATTAGTCCAAATAGTACAGAAAATCTAAATGTGTTATTTTTATACTGTTTTCTGTTAAAACATTTATACTGTTCATACTGTTATAGTAAAATGTTTGATAAAGTTAAACATTGAAGCAACCTATAGCTCAGCTGGTAGAGCTGGCACCCCATGTATCAGGGCTGAGTCCTTGCAGTGGCCATGGGTTTGAATCTGACCTGTGGCCCTGCTGCCTGTCATCCTCTCTCTATCTAACTTCAGCTGTCCTATCCAATAAAGCCAAAAAAGCCCAAAACATTTATTTAAAAAACAACCAACTATTTTTTTTACATAATATATTTGCAATTACATGTTAACAGGGTCAAACATCTTTTATAAAAACAACAATAAAACAGGTGTTTTGAGGTGCTACCTTTGATCCACGTGTGTTTATTTCATCCCGACTGATAGGGTTGAAATTAACAATGTGCAACTAATGCAACTTTACAGAAGTTGTTCCACATTTGTACAAAATTGGACCTGGTATTGATAGAACAAATGAAAATTAGCTTCTGTCTGTGTTATCTTTTAAAATGACATTTATCTGAAAAGGGTCGTACCAGCTCTCCTCAATAGCTTGCAGATTTTTCTCTCTTCTGTTCCAGCTGCTGATTTAAAAATGTTCCTTTAACAGAGAAAACTATCGCAACCTCCTGCAGAGACAAATAATGAGCTCTGTAATTATACTGTAATTGTCTGTGGGTGGTTCAGAGTGTGTGTGTTTTATTTATGTAGTGCATGTGTGCATTAGTGTGAAAGTGTGTATTTTTCTGTGTGTTCTTGCTTTTGTTCAGAGGTGGACTGTGTCCGACTCAAAAGCCGAACACAGTATGCATTACAATTCCCAAAGCATCCCAAATAGTTCACATCTCATCTATATACAGTCAAGCTGTGTGAATATACTGTGTTTATTTTATTATTACACCAGAAAAGATTCAAAGTAATATTACAGATGTTAAAGGACCAGTGTGTATGATGTAGTGGCATCGGTGAAGTTACAGAATGCAACCAACTTAACTTTGCTCACGTCTCTAACCCTATCACAGGTCGCACACAATTGTACCTAAGTACTGTAATTAAGTAAATGTACTTTGTTACATTCCACCACAGGCAGTCAAAACCTATTTCACAACTGAATATAGTAATTTAAATCTTTTTGAAATGGTTACATATAACCTAAACCTTTACAAAATAAACTTTAAACAACTTCAGCTCGCTTTTGTTTGTTTTTGTTTCGTTTCAACTTTGGAGGTTTATCATAATTGGCAAATGTATTCAGGATGCAGCAATATATTTCTTACTTAGCCTAATAAACAGCCATTTTCAGGCTACGATTTTAAATCAGGATTGTCATTAGTATCAAAGTAGGTGAACCATCATTGCTGCTCTTACAGGTATTTCAAAGATGAAAGCCATTTTCAGTCCCAGACGGCATGATTCACTGCAGAAAGCTGTGAAATCCTGTTTGTCCCTGGAGTGATGAAAGCACTTTAGGAGTTTGTGTCTCGGTTCAGAGCCTGTTGAAACTCCCTGAAGCGTTTCACATTTTCTGCCCCCACTGGGGGAAAAACAGCAGCTTCCCACTGATAGGTTAAAACACCCCTGGAGCTTCACAAATGATTTTACAGACAGAAAACATGAGAGTGCAAGTACAAAAGCTGAATCGCATTGACCAAAAGTGTGTGGAGAGAGCGATGTTAAGTAAGATGTTTTAGGTAGTTTCTATAGTGTTGTAGGAAAAAGACCTGACCAAGATTTCTTGAGATGTCGTTCAGAAGCTTCAGTGGTAGCTAAACTCTCCACAGTGATTGTATTCTCAGGCAATTGCTCGAAACTTTGAAAAGAAACAACACTGATCCCAAATCTGAGTCAATATGAATACCTAAATCATGACACCTGCAGTATAATGACTGAATCAATAGTCCTGACAGTAGCACTGCATCATTGATCGTATTAGGAATTTAATCTTAATATACATCATTCTTAGGTCATATTAGCATTAGTGAAGAGGGCCCCTCACCACAAGGTCAAACCTCCAGCAGATCTTCATTGAAGAACAACTTCATTGTGACAACAACACTTTTTGGCTTGTTGCCTTCATTAGAGTCATCCTTAATCATTCTGATTTGTTTTTAATAGTCCTAAGTGGATAAAACATAGAGGAGTGAGCAATAACTGTGCGTGGCAGACATTTTGTTTTTTCCCTATTTTTTTGGTTCCTCAAGGTTGGGATCCACTTAATTACTTCATGTAGAAGCAGAGGCAGAACATCAAAGTAAATAAATGTAATATGTGTGAGAGACAGAGGGGTAAAATTCAGTGAAAGAAAAAGCTTCTAAGGAACAACACAACGAGTGCCGGTGATAATGATATTATTGATAATTTCTTCCCGTCCATGTTGGCTTAAAATTTTTAACTTAAAGTTAATTCTTGACTTTGGAAACAAACTTCAGATAGATATAAAGCACATACATGTTTTGTCCATGTACAGATCAAATATTTAGGTACAACTGTAAATATAATGCAACTTATTATAACACCACTAATAAGTACATGCTCAAAATGACCACAGACATATATTAACTGCTCTCTGGTAGTGTCGAAAAACTAAACATAACCTTTACAGAGATAGCATTTATTACAGAACGCTTGTATTAGATTGCGTTAAATTAACTGAGGCTTTCTTATAAAGGTCAGATATATTCTGCATGCTAAAATTCTACTACACACAATCAACCATGTTTTCACAGAGATGAATAGATTGTGCTCATTTTACATCTAAAGTCGTGAAGAATGATCTAAGGAAGAATGAAAAAGAAATGAGGTTTCATGGTTAGATTTCAGAACGTTTCTAAGATTTGCTGTTGAGTTTAAACAACAGGTTATGGGCAGTTTAAAATCCTTTTGAAGAAAGTTCAAGCTGTAAAGTAAGAAGTCATTTGTATTAAAAATAAAAATGTTGAAAGGAGTAAACAAACTGCATGGAGAGAAACCCAGAGATCCAAATCCAGGACTGTCCCCTGAAACCCCCCCATTATTATCAGAGTGTTTGGGTTTAAAGCTGCAGGTGATTTAACTTTCAGGAATTAAGATTTATTTTAAAATGATAAAAATAAATCACTGTATTTGGTAAACAAAACCAAAGATCAGATATGGCCATTTTAGAAGTATCAGCAGCAGTCTTGTTCCTCTATGTTATGTTAGAGTAAAATGTGAAGATGTGAGAAGAAACCAGAGACATGTACCTGATCGATGTGACTGTGACTCCAAGCTGACAGTTTTTTGTTGTTGTTTTTTCAGTCACAATAAAAAAATGAGAAGTTTGTTGCTTTTTTCAAAAGTTATATCAATACTTAACTTACTCTCTTAATTACTCCTTGACAACAGTAATTCGTTACACGACTCATTATACTTCTACTCGTATATTACTCTTCTGCTACACCCCACAAAATTGGTAATTGCATTCTTTTTCCCAAAATTCAGACTTCTCGTGTGTGCTTTTGTGTGAATGTCAGGGTAATTGCCTGGTAAGCACAGATAAGGTTTCAAACTAGCAGTTTTTTCTGCAGCATGATTCCATAAAAAGTTACAGATTAGATGAAAAGACACAATCTTATGAACAACTTCTGTTCTTTGGAGACATAGTCTCTGCATAGGGGGTATTAGTGAATAGTTAAACTACTCATTAGTAAACATATTGTTTAATGTTTAAAAAGGCTCAGTTATTTCCTAATACAGCTGGGAATTGTACTTTTTAGCAAATGGTAGTAAAAAATGGGGAAATAGTGCATTTGTTGGGGCCTATTTTCAGTGGCCGATTAATCCACATTTGGTGCTCTAGTGAGTATTTGGTGCAGTGTGTGTGTAAAAACATGCAACAGTGTGGCTCACTGATGTATTTTTAATATATATCAGGCTTTGATACACATACACTTGTTAGTAGAATTAATTCATTGCTGGTTTGGGTCTGTATATATTTGTTGACAAGAAGAAAAAAAGAGATCACCAGACTTCCTGTAACAGACTCTTTCTGTTTTTCCTCATGTTTCCTTTAACAGTGGTGTCATATGGTGTTATAGTTGATCTGCAGATTACTGAAATCTGTACGCATTATCAACATTCACCGCTGAAATAATGAAAAAAACTGAACAGACGAAGAACTGCAGTACTTGAACAATGAATTAACTTGATACCGTTCATGTCTCTCTCTCTCTCTCTCTCTCTCTGTTTAGTAAAGAATTTGGCAGGCGCTCTCTAAGCCTGCTGGGAAATGTAGATCAGTGGGTAAGTGGATGTAAATTTCCTCCAGTGGAGATGCTACTGAAGCTCTGCAGTGCATCAGAATCCAACAGCATCAATTATTGAACGTGTTGGAATGAAAGACTGGCATGCCTCATCCCCATTTAAAGTTTTTAGGCAACGTGAAATATTAATGCAGATGAGACCGGGTCACTGCAGAGGCAAAGAATATGAGTTTACTGTGGACTGAACAGCAGAGAGTAAAAGGGTAATCAAGCATGTAAAAGGCAACAAATCAAACACGTTTACTCATAGTTCTCTCATAACACTCTACAGGTTCACAAAAATATCTTTCCCTTTTTTTAACAACTAATATAAACTGTAAGTGTGATTTAATACTGCAAAAGGGTAGCCAACAGAAGCTTGACTGAGTTTTCTGAATCCACAAAGGAGCCTGGAAAGCTTCAGCTGAGCTGAAAACATGAAAATCAATGGAGGTTGGAATTTCAAGGTTTTTTGGAATTATTTGGAGAGATTAAATTCTTGACATGGCAAGCATTGGCATGACCTATGTCAGGTTCTAGCTTTACTTCTGAATACCAATCCAATGTTTGGGGACATTCAATAGTTCTTGTTAGGGCTTACATCCAGGGCTTTTTCTGCACCGTGACTGGGGCAAACTGTTATTGTTGATCCCTACTGACACAAGGCTTTTCAGAGTGAGACTTTCCACAGAACATGGCCAAAAACAACATATTGTTGAGGTCACAAAGGCCGTAAGAGTTATGACTCTTGTCTTAAAGGAGGAAGTAGTGTGACGTCATAGAACCACAAGGGATGGCTCTCCCATGAAAAACAACAATCAAGTGCCAAAGACATCATATTATGACAGGAGCAAAGGAGGAAGTCAGCTGATGTTTTTATAGAGCATCATAGGTTGGACTTTACTGGACTTTAACGCCAAAGAATGCTGTTTGTTTACACGCAACATTGTCTTTTTTTTTTCAAGCTTGATGACGAAGCTCCCTTAACTAAGTTTGTGGTGGTTGGGGTCCTTCTTGGGCGCCAATTAAACTAGTGGACAACACCCCGGATCTGGGCGCAGGGCATTTGCCTTTTGGCTTGATTGCTAATCTAGTCTTGCACATGTACCCCAATTTTAGGTTCTCATAAAAGTAATTTTTTTGGCCTTTTATTGC